TTCCTGGAGCTCACTTGGTAGCCCAGGCTGGCCTCGAACTTACAGAGATCCGCCTGGCTCTGCCTCCCGAGTGCTGGGATTAAAGGCGTGTGCCACCAACGCCCGGCTGTTTTATACTTTTATATAGCCTTCAAACACATTTTTTGGAGGATTTGATGCTAGAGATTAAACCCAGGACCCTAAGCCTGCTGCAAACATGCTCTACTATACTAACTATGCTTCCAAACCTCCTTTTTTTTTTTTTTTTTTTTTTTTTCTGAGACAAGGTCTCTCTAGCCTTGGCTGGCCTGGACCAGGCTGGTATCAAACTCACAGATCCACATGCTTTGTCTTCTTGAGTGCTGAAATTGAAGGCCTGCACTACTATGCCTGGTTTCCCATCTATCGATGAGCTTGCTGGATGGATGCCTTCCATCTGCCCTCCACATCTCTGTTCCTTTATTTGCTTGTCTTCCCAAGAAAGCTGTATGAGTCCCAGGAGCCTTCTTCCAGCCCCTGGTTATGGAACTATTCATGAAACCAGTACCGCTGGGGCTCAGCAGTTAAGAACACTTGTTGCTTTTGCAGAAGACCTAAGTTTGGTTCCCAACACCCACATGGTGGCTCATAGCCATCAGCAAATCCAGTTCAGATAGACCTGATCCCCTCTTCAGATCCCTTGGACATCAGGGATGCATGTGGTGCTCATACATACACGCAGGCAAAGCACTCACACACACAAATAAATCTAAAGAAAAACCAGTACCATTTATCATTATCTGCCTGCATCATCTAGCTACTTAGTATCATCTATTATCATCTATCTATAATATCATACTTAGGAACACACTATGGCTCTGAATTATATGGTCTCCATCAGTGCCCTGGTGCTAAACTGATTTTAAATTTGATATAGTTTATAATTCTGAAATATAAGGCATTCTTAGGGGTGTTGGTATATGCACTTAGAATCTTGAGGCAGGTGCCTCAAGAGTTCAATGTCATCCTTGGTTAGTTACAGTGTCTCTGGGAGTTCAAAGTCATCCTTGGTTACAGAGTGAGACCCTGTTTCAAACAAAAGGAAAAAAAGAGCCACTCAGCATAGTCATTTCATACTCTAAACTGGATGGTGTGAGAAGGCACCCACAGAAACAGTATACTTCATGAGAGAAGAAAATGGGCCCACAAATATTGTTTCATCAGGAAAATGCAAATTAGAACCACGTTGAGAACCCACCAGAAGAGTTCAAATTTAAGATCAAGTGTTGTGGGGGTGTAGACATTTTTATTTTTAAGTGTGTATGAGTGTTTTGTCTGCATGTGTGTCTGTGTATCCTTTGCATACCTGGTACCTAAGAAGGCCAGAAAAGGACACCGGATCCCCTGGAACTGGAGTTACAGACGTTTGTGAGCCACCATGTGGGTGCTTGGAATTGAACCCCAGTACTCTGCAAGAGTAAGTCAGAGCTCTTAACTGCTGATCCATCCCTGCAGACCTCCAAAGTCCAGATTTATAGGGTACCAGCTGGTATCAGTTAGGCCCAGTTGGGCCTTGATTGTTTGAACACAGAGCACACAAACAGGACTAATCAGGAAAAATCTGTCAGATCTGGTGGAGTGGGAAAGAAGAGAGGGCCAACCAAAAGTTTTTAGACATTTCATCAGGTCTGTCTGCCAAACGTTAGTATAATGTTTCAGTTCAGGTGGTCCCTGCAGGCTGCTGGCCATGGCCCCTCTTCCTTCAGTAGGTCTTTGCTTCTCCGCTGGCTTCAGTTGCTGTATAACTGATAGCAGCAATCCACTTTGGGGGCTTG